TTTTTTTTTTTTTTTTTTTTTGGGTTTATTGACATTGTACATTGTACTCAGGGGAGCTTATTTGGAAAGAAATGAAGAGGAAGAAAATGAAAAATATTCATCTAATGTCTCAATTTGATTGTACGGAAAAATTTAAAACTTTCTTTTAGGTTTTTTTGAGCTAAACAAACTAATAATAATATAATCAAAATATGACTATAAATGAATTAAGTTTCATATAATTTGAATTTAACCTTATACTACAATAATAAGTCAAATTGAGTGAAATTTAAGTTTTTAACAAGTTTAAATATATTAAACTTAAAAAATAAAAAAAAACTTGAACCCAATTGATTAGGGGAAGGTAAAGGATGCACAATCAATGAAATGGGCCATTGGAAGGGTGATCCATGGAGATGGTGCTTAAATTGGAGAAGACGTTTGCTGGTTAATTAGGCAGGTAGAGCAGGTCATGGAGCTCATGGAAATTATACAGGGAATACAACTAAGAAGAGGAGTGAAGGACAACTGGCGATGGGCACATGACAAAGGGGGCAACTACAACGTGAAATCTGCCTATGCTTTGTTAGCAAGGGACAAGGCTTTGGAAGGCAGAAAACTATTAAAGAAGTGCTGGAATCCTACAATTCCTATCAAGGTATGTGCATTCACTTGGCTGGTCCTCCAATACAGAATCCCTTGCAAAATAAACCTGATAAAAGAGAACATCATTAAAAATGGGGAAGAAGACAAATGTGGGCTTTGCAGAAAATATAATGAGGACACTAATCATCTTATGCTAGAATGTGACTTTGCCTATTCTTTATGGATGAAATGTACCAAATGGTGGGGAGTATCTCATGTAATGCATCAAGACTGTAAAGCAGCTTTTGTACAGCATAGTGGTGTAACAAATGCAAGGATGAGCTGGCTAGTGATATGGTTTGCAGTGACATGGACTATATCATTAGCAAGAAATGATGCAGTTTTCAATGATAAGCAAGCTAACGTGGAGGATGGATTGGAATTAGTTCGGGGGAGATCTTATTTGTGGATTAGTGGGAACAAAAATGATTGGAAATTTTCATTTATTGATTGGTGCCAAGATCCAAATAGGTGCTTGATATTGTCAAAATTAAAGAGAAAATGAATGTAGATTGATAAAAGCATCCCTTGTACTTTAAAAATAAAAAAGTTTTTTTAGCTGTTTAAAAAAAAAATTGATTATTTAAATTTAATTTAAAATAAAAATAAAAATATTTTAATATAAATATTTTTAATACAATTAAAATGAGTCAAGTTGAGTTTAGTTTTAAGTCAACTAAATTTTTTAAAATTAAATTTAAATTTTGAATCAAATAACCCAATTCATTTATAATATTACCAACTTGTTCTATATTCCTTTATAATTTATATCCTACAAAAAATAAATGTTTACAGTGAAGGTAATAATTCAAAAATATCCCATATTGTAAGTTTGTGAAAGTGCCATGACAACAGTTTTGAGTAGTTGAAAGCAATTTCTTCTATACTAATAATTACTTATAAATAAAAGAATTAAAAGGTGATGCATATTTGGTACACAGTTAAGACAATAATATCTTTCTGGGTCAAAGAAGGTGACTGAGTAACCAGCAGTTGGGGCCATACGTACACAGCTGTAATCCTCCAAATGTACTTTTACTTCCTTCCACCTGTAATCCCATAACCCCTACTCACCTCCCACACCAGGCCTTAAAATTGGTTAATTATCGATTATAGTTTTAAAATTTTAATTTATAAATTATTTTTTTTAATATTTTTTAATTTTTAAAAAATTAATGCATACTTATTTTAATTTTCAAAAATAATTAAAATTTCAACTTATATCTAAAAATTAAATATCAGATCCAAATATTTTATATAAATAATTTTGAAACTTAAATATCAGTATTTAATAAGATAATTTTTAAAATTTAAAATTTTATTTTAATTAAATAAAAAACATAATTTAATATTAAAATTTTAGTTTATTTTAAAATTCAAGATTGATATGTATTTTTCTTAATTTTTAAATTGTAAAAATATATTTTTTAATTCTTTTATCAATTAATATGTTAAAGCTAGTTAAATGTATTTTTAATTCTTAAATTTAGATTAAAAATTTACATAAATTTTAAGACTACAAATATAACTATTTTTAGACTTAATAAAGAAATTAACAAAAAGAGTAAAAAATATATTTTTTATAATTTAAGGAAAAAAATATAAAAAATAATAAAAATTTAGAACCCAAAATTTGGCATTTCACCTTAAAAAATTAAAAACAAAGGGCGGAACGGTCAATTCAATTTCTTTCCCCACAGTGACCCTTCCTTTTCCACGTAACCCCAAAAACAAGGGATAGAGGGAACCGCAAAATCCCACGTGGTACTTAAAACCCAAGCCCAAGTGTCCTCGAGTCCCGCCTCCGCACGTGCCGATCTGGCACGAGCGCCGGATAGCCTACGTGGCAGAATTTTGAAACGTGGCAATCACAGATACATGGGGGCGACGATGGAACTTAGCATAGATGTCGAACCCTGAGCTGGCACGACACGTGTCACTCCCTCGCCAACTGTGGGCTTTTCCCCTCGAACCAGTAGCAATTTTCTCCTCCCTGTTCCTCTCTCTCTTCGCTTCAATTCAAACCTCTTGAACCCCCTTTTCTTTTCTCTGAAGAAAGTTACGCTTTTTCTTTCTTTTTTCTTGGGATTTTGTTTCTCCGGGTTTTTTTTTTTCTTCTTCTCCTTTTTTTTTTGGTGGAGTTAGTTATGGATTTGGAGAGAGGTTTCGTTTCGAGTTCTTCGGGTTTGTCTCAGCGTTCCTCGGCGGAGAAAGCGGCGGATCGGCTGGAGCTTGAGGCTGCGGAGGCGTTGGCTGGCTTGGCGCATTTGGCGATGCGAGAGACCGCCGCGGATTCCGCCGCCAAATGGGGTAGTAAAGGCAAACGACTCAGAAAGCGAGTCAAGAGCGAGTCGCCGCCTTCTGACCCGGGTTTCAACCCGGCCGACCCCTTCCGAACGGCTTCAGATCCCACCGAGGAGGTATTAACCGGTGGAATCAGTTTCACATTCTCGTATATTTTCAATGTGTTTGTTTTTCTTAATTTTAAAGAATTTTTTTTTTCCTTCCTGGTTTTGAAACGTGTTCACCCGGAATTGGTAAATAAAATTGCAAAATTAGTATAAAAAAATGAAAAAAAAATTTATATTTTCCAGAAATTTCCGTTTTCTATTTGTTTAGAAAACAGTAGTGTAGAATTTAGTTAAAGTACACTGGATTGCTTCCCATTAGGTTTGTTCTTAGAAAAGAAGGATCTTTTTTTTTTTTTCCTGTTTTTCTCCTTTTTTTTTCAATTTTTTTTTAAAGTAATTATCTGTGTATAATAATGTTTGGTGAGTTATGGTGCAACCAGAGAAAAGCAACATTGGAGCAGCCTATAAGTTGATTGCTTAAAAGATATTGTTGTATGGGCAATTAACTTTAATAAGAAATAAAGCTGTCCCAACAACTTTCTAATCATATTATTCCCTACAAAAGTTGTTAAACATGTTGATGCTATTTTTAGCATAAAGGTTAGCATAAAGGTTACCAACAAAAAGCTAAAAAAATGATATACTGACCTTCAAGGTTTGTAAGGGACTTTATCTTACACCTTCTTGTATGGTAATTTGGTTTTTATTTCTGGGTTTTTTATATTAAACACAGTAGACAAACCAAGAGAAGTAGAAATTGAAATCTTTATTTCAGCTGGTGATAATGTGGTTAAGAAATTCATCTTGGTTGTGAAATTAAAAATAGGAAAATGAATCAAATGCAGTGTTTTCTTAAAATGAAATCTTACCATCAAGTGATAGTAATTATGATTGGCTCTTTTTTGCTCATGAGATGCCAATTGTAATAACTGTTGCCTAGAAAAGTATGATTTCATTTTAAGAAAATATTGTGTGAATCAACTCCGTTAAAAGTATATACTGATTTGAAGTCGAACCTAGTAAGGAAGAGCATAAATTTAAACCAAAAGAGATTGCTATTGGAACTTCATTTGCTTTGCCGTTCTATTTTCACATCTCCTTATATGCACTGTTGTAAAAATCATGCACGTAATGCCTTTTTGCAGCATTTTTAGCCAATATGAGATGTTTTTATTCCTAATAAATCAGCCCAGTCCATTTTTGCAACACTTTTAAACACTAGGATATATTAATAGTGACATTTTTATTTATTTTTTCATTTTTTCTTTGTCATTTTTGAAACTATAAAAATAGAAACGGGAGAGAGACACCTAGTCTGTCTAGCAACTCACCTAGGCGCTAGGCAGTGGCTCAATACCCACCATTGCGGAGCACTTTCTGCAAAACCATTATTATGGGACATTTCATGATCTTGCCTATCTGAATGTTTACCATAAAATGTGCAATCTGTGATCTCAACTAAATTGACTCTTCCATGATTCCATCTTTTAACTTCTAAGATGTGGCACTTATATGTCACCCTTTTCTTTTCTGTTGAATGACGAGAGTAATAATCACATGTGTTAATGTAATTTCCCAAAGTAGTTATATCTTAATGAACTTTTATATTATACCGAGCTGTCACCAAATTGCACTATTTTATGTGGGACTTGAAAAATATTTTTGTTTGTATCAGGATCAAGCGAAAGCAGATCAGCTTGAGCAGCAGGTTGTGATAAGCAATGTGTTTATAGAATCAATAAAGGCTGAGCAGAATACTGTATCACTTAAACCAAGTCCTAGGTGTGCATCAAGTCATAAATCTACTGGTGTGGGAAGGTCAAGACTGAATTTAACTGAGGTAGAAAACTTATTCCTTCACTGTTTTGTTCTATTATGTTCTTTATTTTAAACTAAAGCTTTTCTGAACAGGCTGAGAAAGAAGAGCGAAGATTACGTAGAATATTGGCAAATAGGGAGTCAGCTAGGCAAACAATTCGCAGAAGGCAGGTAAGCTGTGTTTGGTCAATCTAATCCTGGTTTCTGTTTATTAATTTTAGTCTTTTTCTTATTTCACCATCTAAGAATATTGTTTCCCTAAATAGGATTGTCTAAGGAAGGGAATTTAGGAAAAATCACATCCTTATCTACTTGCTCTACTGAGAATATCCTCTTTTCACTACACTTATTTTGATGGATAAATGCATATCATAATTTTATTTTAGTATCCTACATTGTAGCAATAAGGGGAATAACTTATTCTTCTGTCATCCCATTAATTGCTCCTTCGAGCTGTGGATGGCAACCCACTTGAAGTATGCACTTCCAAAGGAAGTAAGCTGTATCATTGACTTCTTGGATTAAGTAAGAAACTAAGCTAGATCTGCATCCATGGCCTACACATGTGCCTGGATCCACCTGCATTGGACTTAACTATTTCATTGAAATGTCAGTAGACTGATTAAATTTTAGGCTTACAGCACTTAGATCAATAAGTGCCAAATGTTGATGCTTTTAATTTCCACAAGGGTTCAGTTTTTGGTGTTTGCTGCTGTAGTCATTATGTGTTACTTTTTGTTTTTGTTACATTTGATGATGGGCTATATGATAGGATATAGCCCTCCTCTTTCCCAAACCCCTCCCTACCCTTCTCAAGGTTCAAACTTGAGACCTCCAACATGGAGGCTTACGTTAGGCTCAAACACTTAGATCAAAATGTGTTATAGAAGAGGTCTCACTTGTTTAGAAAATTCACAAGTTTGAGTGTCAAATTTTAAGAAAGAATTTTCTCACATTGAATTGTATATACAATTTTCTATTTCACTGTAATTTGGTTTTACTATTGTTCTGACTTTGTACTCTAATCCAGGTTCTCTGTGAGGAGTTGATGCGAAAAGCCACTGATTTAGCACAGGAGAACGAACGTTTGAAAAGGGTAACCATAAAATCTTACCCAAAGCCCTCTTTCTTTTCCTTTCTTTTCCTGTCTGGCATGGCTTTATGTTATTGTTGTTGTTATTTTTATTTTTGGCCCTAGTACTACCCCTTCTATGGTTAGAGTTGTTCTTGAACTTGTCTTAATGTCCCATCTTAGCTTATTCCTTTTAATGTCATTTAAACTGAGTAGGAAAAGGAGTTGGCATTTAATGAGTATCAGTCTTTGGAGAGCACAAATAAATATCTAAAGGCAGAGGTAAGGTTACTCTGATGAACAATTGATCTTTAAAGTGTCTTCTCCCAATTTGACATGCTATCCTTAACTGCAGATGGCTAAGGCTATAAAAGCTGAGGAGGGAGAAGTTCCTGGAGAAATTAGGTCAGTGCATCCTCAGATGTCTGCTCCTCCATCTACAAACTGTCCATTCTTCTTCTACAACCAACATCCTTTTCCCCCATTTTGCTGGCCTTCAATGGCTCAGTCTTCTAACCAACTTCAGACGCCGCATCAGCCCCAAACTGCCATCATTGTTCCACCAAATGTTCCCATGCCTGCTTCTGGAAAGCTTGATCCATCTCAAGACCCAGGAAACTCCACAAATGTCAATGGCTCCAAGAGTCCATTTTACTTAGTCCCTTGCCCTTGGTTCTTTCCTCTTCCTGATCATGGGAATGGATTTCATCCTCAACCATCCTGTCATGTGAATGACTTACAAGATGAAACATCTGTAAGTAATCGATTCAGTGCTAGTTCTTCTACAAAAACTGTAGCATATAGGGAGAATCATAATTGCTCTATTGATATAAAAGTTGAGAAGGATGCTTATGGGTCAATAGAAGAAGCCAGACTTAATGATCAGAATATTACTCCAGTCAAGTTTCCTTCAGATGGAGGTGGGCAGTGCGCAGTAGTCCACCCTAAAGAAAATGTCCTAGTTCCTACACCTGTAACTTCTTCAGGGGCAACATTTGTTGTTAAACAAGAGAATCTGTCAGATTACATTTCTAATGTTGAGGCTTCTTCTCTAAGGGCAAGTCACACTTTGAATCCTTCAACAGTGAATAATCAAGAACCAGTGAATTATGCAAGTAAAAAAGAACCGGAGGCAGTAGCTGCAGCTGAGGCAAGAAAGAGGAGGAAAGAACTTACGAAGCTAAAGAACCTCCATGGTAAGCAATGCCGGATGCAATGTTGAGTTTATATATTCTAGTTCACAGAAGGCCTTATAGGAACTGCTTTGTTGGCTGCATTCCTCACTCCTCAGATTAATTGTCAAGGTCTGAGGCTTTTCTTCTGGTCTCTCTTTCTTTTCTCTTATTATTATTTTTTTGGGTTGGAACAAGGGGAGGGAAGGTGTTCATTGAAAGGGCAGAAAATTCTGATATCCTGTTTATTCTTTGATTGAGCCTAACTACTTCAGGGCTTGGATGAAAGAATCAGAATAAACACTGCCCCTCCCTCATACATTTTTTTTCTTTAGCGGCAAGGTATCTCATAGTAGATGAGTATGCTGTCCTTTCTTCAATGGGCTTTTAACTTAGAACAGGGCAGTCAGAGTTGGCATTGCTTGCAAATGTTACTAACGTTCTGTAACTTAGAACTGCAAGGTTTTACCCCTCTTGCAGATTCAACATGCCTGAAGCAACTATAAGGTGTTACTGTCTTTTCAGGTCCTGTTTCTTCCCTTCTTTTAGTGATTTTGTAACTTGTGTTAGAGACCAAAATTTGTCTCATGATTTAAGATATAATTAAGATGGTTATCTCTCGCTTCTGTTGTTCCATGTCTTTATAAATACGAGGTTTGCCACCATATTGGCCCACAAGGAAATCCTGATGTCTCCTAGACTTAGAGGATAGCCCAACTGTTTAGCAGAAAACTTACTGGAAATTTTAACTTCTAAGTCTGAGATAGGCAGCAGATGGGCGGAAAGGATTATGGGAATGTATCTTAGGGGGGGGAATTGGAGATGGGTGAGAAGGGAAGAGAGAGAAGGGAGAACTTTTCTCTGTTTCTTTTGACGTCTTTTATATATAAAAGAAAATTGATTCTGATACAACAAAATGGTTAGTTAAGTATCAAATCAACTCTGAAAATTTATATATAAGAATAGAGCTTTTAACGCTATGTTTGCCATCACTCCACACTAGTGCTCCTGAGCGAGACCAGGGTCCAGCCTCTGCTGAATTACCCTTAACTATAACCTTGAACGACTTCTTTTCATGCAACCGGCTGAAATTCAACGTCCTCGGGACAACCTCAATGCTAAGACCTTTTGACGCCCTGACAATGGCCTTGTAGCTAGAACTCCCAGTTCCAACTTCAGTAACAGTACGGTAAAAAATTGCCGAAAATCTGGTTTGTGTGCTGTTGATTCGGGTGTGCATGGAGGGATAGTTGAGCCCATCAGTGCCATGAACAGGTTTAAAGCTTGAGCAGCTGTGGCCCTTGTCTCCGATGAGCTTGTTCAGGGCTGTGCTATTGTAGCCTTCCTTGCACAGGAAACGAATGTAGGAGCTGAAGGAGATATCATAGATGAGACCAGGGTGCACTGCTCTTACCGGGTTTATCTGCCCGGCACCTGACCCGAGCTTGCCGGTTTTGTCTTTGGTCTTCATCGGTGTTGCTGGTGAAAGAAATTTATGAGAATGCCAGATTCATAAAAGCTCAGTGACGCAAATGTTATACACTCTAAAGTTTAGTGACTTCTGTTGACATTATATACCGGTTGTCATGAGAGCAGACTTGATGGCGGCTGGCGACCAGTCAGGGTGGAAGGATTTAACATAGGCAGCAGCAGCTATAGCATGAGGGTTAGACATGGACGTTCCTGAAATGATATTGTATCCGGGACGGCGATTGTCACTTGGGTCCCCAGTTAACGATGTCAATGTTGTGTATGCCGCCAATATGTTGAGTCCCGGTGCCACAACATCTGGCTGCACCCAGCACCAAAACTCTCAGCTGAATAATGGGAAAATAAGCAAAAGAAGAATATGGTTTCTACCTTGAGGATGTTGTGGTTTATCATTTGAGGTCCTCTGGCTGAGAAAGAAGCCACAAAAGGAGCAGTCATATTCACAGATCTTGACCTATCTATCATAGCTTTAGGATTCCTGTATCCAATCATCATCACGATAAAGCTTTCACTAAAATACGACTCGTGAATATTTTAGTTATTTTCAATTCAGACTGATTTTTTAAAAAAAAATCCATACAGGGAAGAACCATCATATGTGGCTTCCTTGAATTTTGAAGGATAGAGAAAAATTTTGAAAAACTGGACTTACTTGGTGGAATTAATGTAGCGATCAATCTTATTTCCATCATTGACAACAACAAGGGAACCAGGGAGAAGAGTGATGTAATAAACATCTAATAACTCGGTAACAGACATGATGGCTCCAACTCCATCCAATTGTTTGATTGTAGAGTCCTGCCCACTATTCCCTAGGCAGTACATAATTCTCCCTTTCACCTTATCTTGGCTTAGAGTTCCATGGTCGCAAGCACTGTATTGGAAGTTAGTTAGCGTGGTAAAAGTTTGAACTCTTAAATCTCGACTTAAAATCAAGGTTATTGAGTGACAACTAACTCTAAAAAGTCTTGTAAAAATACCTGGTATTTCCTGTATAATAGGTGCTGTTTCCAGTAAGATTTCCTGCAAGGGTTCCGCTTGTTATAGGGTACATCTTTTTCTTCGTTGAATATGTGTTAATTCCATTGCCCTGCATCAAATTTACCAGTGCCATCATCTTCTTCGTTTTGCGTTTTAAAAACAGCAATATATTTATAAATAGAATCTAGTTTTTTAAGTTATAAAATACTAATTATTAAATGAAAACTTTCACTTAATTCAATAATTAATATTTTATAATTTAAATAATAAAAGTAAAATACTCCTTTTTTTTTTCTTTCTTTTTTTGATAAGCCCAAAGCACCTTTTCATATGCATATAAAATAATTCTTAAAAAAAGGACTGAGAAGTTACCGCAATTTTAATGCCATTTCCAAGCTGAATATCCACACGAAAGTCCCTGTCCATGCTGCTGGCCCCAACGGTGAGGACCCATGGTGCCACATTTTCCACCGAAAACAAATCAGGACCTCCATTTCCAGCCGAGCACGACGTCAAAATCCTCTTTTTCATGGCATGGAAGGCTCCAATGGCTATTGGGTCCTCAAAAAAGTCTCTGGAGGGCCCGCCTATGGAGACGGATATCAAGTCCACACCATCATGGATAGCGTCGTCGAAACCGGCCAGAATGTCCATGTCAGTGCAGCCGCCACTCCAGCAGACCTTGTACATTGCTATACGTGCTGATGGCACACCGCCACGAGCAGTGCCTTTGGCTATCCCGTAAAGGCTGGCATCGTGGATGGATACGCCGGCAGCGGTGGAGGAAGTATGGGTCCCGTGGCCCATGTAGTCAGCTGGGGTTGGGTCCTCCTCAATGGGAAAACTTTTGTCTAGATTGTAGTATCTTGCTCCAATTACTTTCCTGGCCATGACAGGTAGGATTAACTTTATAGTAGTTGTTCATGAATGAAAATATCCAAAGGAGTCAATACCGTACCGGTATACGTATCGATTTTATTATTGGAACAGTATATATCCGATATCGAAATTTTTTATGTACCATTTCAGATTTATCGCTATAAATATATTTTTATAAAAAATATTAATGTAATTAAGAACAAAATTAAAAAACCTTTTGAATGAGTAACAATCTTTTTTTTTTTCAACTATTAACCTAAACCCATTATAACCCAAATAAAGGTACTTTACATGGTTTAAATTAAAAACATTAAAATAATGATAATTATTAAATAAATAATAACAAATCTTATAAAAATTAAAAAGATTGACTCTTTTTTTTCCAATTAA